CTTTCCCTATAAGTTCGTCATTAAGCTTGTTTCTTTAATAATAATAATAATAAAAGTTCTTCATTAAGGGTCTTAAATTATTTCATAGACATACTTGCACAGTTTTTGAAAGGTTTAGGTGCAAAATAGAGCCAAGAATGCCATTGTAACCGTGAATAAGGAGCATTTATTTTCCCTTGTTTGCAGAACATATGCAAGTCCTGCACCGTTTATTCCTCCATATAAAACAAAGAGCTTTACGTGATTGTCATCCATAAAAAGTACAAAAAGGAATCCAATGTCTCTAGGGTTTCTTTCCATTTCTGTTTTCCTTCCATTCAAACAAGGTTTTTTTTATTATTTTTTTATTATTTTTAAGGCAATACCTTATATACACTTCTTGTTTATGCAACTATTGTAAACTAAATGTTTGACCTCAATTTAGTGTAGGTATTGCTTGCCGTAGCTGTTGTTTAAAAACTTCAGTTACAAATGCAGGTAAGGAACAAGATACCTAAACTTAAAAAAGTATTCCCATTTTACTTGCTTGTTGGGTTTTCCTTAAACATGAAGATAATTACTTATGTGGAAGGAAAGGTTTATGGTGTTATGTTTTATACCGTCAAATTATGTCATAATAACCAAGGTTTAATCAGTTTATTTTTTTTTTTTAAAGAAAACAGGTAAAAAATTATAAAGAGTAGATCCATAATTATTAAAAAGGATAAGGCATCTTATAATATATGGAAATATCTCTCATTAAGTAAATTTGACTAACAATAAACACTTATATATTTCTGTTTACAGTAACTTCTGACTAATAACAGAACAACAATAAATATTTTTAACAGCACAACAATACCAAACTAATCCTTATTCTACTCATTGTGGGGGGACTGGTGGCCTTCTCTTTACTTGTTAGTCTTTTCTTTACCTGCACGTAAGGTTAACAGAATTCACATATACTTGATTAATCTCGGGATTATTTACCCATGCCACTTTTATATGCAAATTAAGCTCAAATATTTTAGTAGTAACATAGTATTCAAATATTAACTCTCTAAAGTAATATTCTTTATTTCACTCTACTTCTTATCGTGTCAATTAAATTAGTCATTGCGTTAAATTTGAGACTTGTTTATTTTATTGATTGGAATCACATAACTTTATCTTTTAACTCAAATTAAAAACTCGAAAGTGGAAAATAAATAAAGCCCCATTCTACCTTTATGTGTAAACCAGGGTTAAAATCTTTCCACGATATTCCTTATATTTCTTTCCTCTGATTCACCTTCCTCAGTTTTTTTATGGGCCACTTAACGGCCCAACAATAAATCTTAAGGGAGAAGAAATCTCAAAAGCTGTATCAGTGTCATCTTTATACGACGATTTGGCGCGTTTTCTTTCATTTTTCATCTCCATCATCTACATTCTAAAATCTAAGAGTTTCTCTCTCCTCGGAAAACCTATCTTTCTCTCTCTAAAACCCTCTCGATTCACCCGAGGTATCCATCCATGTCTTCGAGCGAGGACCGCTCTGAGATCGCGTTCTTCGACGTCGAAACGACGGTGCCGACTCGATCCGGTCAAGGATTCGCCATTTTGGAGTTTGGAGCCATTCTGGTTTGCTGTAGGAAGCTCATCGAGCTCCAGAGCTATTCCACGCTCGTTAGACCCTCGGACCTCTCCCTCATCTCCTCTCTCTCCGTTCGCTGCAACGGCATTTCTCGCAACGCCGTCATCTCGGCCCCGACTTTCAATGACATCGCCGAACGGGTCTACGACATTCTCCATGGTTTGGTTTTCTTCTCTCTCTCTCTCTACTTTCTGTTCGGTTCATAGAATTTGAGAATTTGAAGGAAAGAAAATGAAATGTGAAAAGAAACCTCAAAAAATTGTACTTTGTGGCCCATTAAGCTGAAAATGCTCGTTGAATGTTGGTATCATTTTAAATTGAATCAAATAACAAAGAAATCTATGAAATCTGTTGAAAATGAAAGCTCAAATTGGGTGTTTACGACAAAAAGCTAGTTTGTAAGCTGGTTTATATTGAAAAATCGGTTCTTTTTTTTTTTGGGTCGGTTGTGCACAGGACGGATATGGGCAGGTCACAATATATTGAGATTTGATTGTGCTCGGATTCGAGAGGCGTTCGCAGATATTGGACGACCAGCACCGGAGCCAAAGGGTACAATTGATTCGTTGGCGTTGTTGACTGAGAGGTTTGGCCGGAGAGCCGGTGACATGAAGGTAAAATGTAATTGCTAATTTCAGCTCAAAAGTACTTTTTTGGGGCTGATTTCAATGTGTGAAAAATATTTCCTAAGGATCATGAGAACTTGTTGTGGAGAATATAAATTTATTAGGGGAAAATTTTGAATAGCTTGGTTGGTTCGACTTTTGAGTCGACCCTCCAATTGCATTTTTCAAAATAGAAGAGCCTGATGCAATGAATGATAAGCTTCTTCTCTGATGTTGGAATGCTCTTTCTAAGCATTTAGTTTCTATTAATGACTGCTTTCTCATCTTTATCTTGTTTTTGTGTTGGATTATCTTATTTATGATAACAGACATGATTGGTGGATATTATGACATGAAATTTGACATTCAACAGTGCGCAGTAGTCAAGCGTTCTGCTACATTTTTGTTTCCCTAATGGTTGATACATCCTCATTTACATATGCAGATGGCCACCCTCGCGACATATTTTGGGCTTGGAAAGCAGACACATAGGTACTCTTGCAATCCTATTTTGCGTTGGCTTTCTTGATTTTTCAATTAGTTTTGTTTGACTAATCTCGTTGTGGTGATTCTTAGGAGCTTGGATGATGTTCGAATGAATCTTGAAGTTCTCAAATACTGTGCTACAGTCTTGTTCTTGGTAAAAACTTGAGTATTCTTGAGGAGTCATGACCATCCTCATAGTTCTACTTGTTTTTGTATGTTTTAGTTTTATTACTCGATATATCATCGATCAAGTACTTGTCGATTTTGCCCCACTAACAAATTAAAATATATATTCTCAAAGCTTATTGTCTTCCAAACATTATGTAGACAAATTTTTCTCAAGTTAAATGATAGCCAAAGATCCTATCAATTTTTATGTGTACGGAATTATTAGCCTACATTATATACGTTTTACAGTGCATCTGACAATACTCAATGGAACCTTTCATCGTGAACCGTTTTGTTTACTTGACAAGTATGTTCTTGAATGATTTATTTGGTGCTGATTTTTTCTTCACGTGTTAGTCTGTTAGGGTGTATGCGAAGCTGCAAATTTAGTTTCAGTCTCTTGATTTCTCTCACCTTTTTTATTTTTGTTAATGACTTTTTTATTATTTTTGTCATTAGGTAATGTGTATGGGCTTGTTTTCATATGCCTGTGTAAGATTACTTTTGTTTCCTGCTATTCCTTTTAGCCATTCGCAGTTGAGTTCGAATGTTTATCTTCTAGGAAGTGTTTATGTATGTGTCAATGTGTGTGTGTGTGCACGAGGTGGTGTGAGTTAGGAAATTTCATACCCTGCTTAGTTATAGGGTATTTACCTTTCTCAACTGGTCCAAACCCAGTTAATGGATTAGCCTAATATAAAAGAAAGTTATTGGATTTTTCTATAACGATTTATTTATTTATTTATTTTTAATGTCTGTTTGGAAGAATAATGACAACCTCTTGAACTTCAGTATGTTGCTTCCAGCATTTCCTTCATTTTAATTGATTGTGTAATGCCAGCTATGCGCTAGGTTGCAGCTAGTCTTTAATTATTTACTTTTAATTTTTGAAACCATACCTCATATTTGTGATTTGACCAGGATGTTCTCCATCCCTATTGCCTCTGAAGTGATCCATAGACAGGCAGGTTTTATATGATCAGTTATGTGATGATTAACTATAGTATGGCATAATTACAGGAGTCGAGCCTCCCGGACATATTCACAACAAACAGTTGGGTTCCTCCAAATGCTTTAACAAGAAGTCGTAGTAATGGAAAATCATCTCCCGTGGGGGCAAGCAATTCCAATATCCCCGCATATGATAATGGCCCAGTGTCATCTTCCACGTCTCGAATAATGGTTGAGAATCACTCAATATCATGTCCATTCGCTCAAAGCAGAGGAGTAGAAGTCTCTAATCCAGTACAATCTAACTCATCACGTCCAGATCCTTTTAACATGGCCCCACTCAGCGCTGAAATTGCAATAGAATCCCATCAGTCCGATGTCAACATGGAGGAGAAATCCATTCCAGAGTCTCCAGATGTTTCTTCCACACCAGCAACAAATTTGCCTAATGGCAGTTCTGTTCCATTTCTAGTGCTTGATGAAGTTTCTATTTCTTTTATCCGTGCCTCACATGTTCCATTCTATCGTGGGAGTCTGAGGATGAAATTATTGCACAAAGATATCACTTTGCAACTTCAATGTAGTCGTCTGAAAGTGCGTTTCGGAATAAGTGCGAAGTTTGTTGATCCCGCTGGCAGACCACGGTTGAATTTTGTTGTTGACGCGCCACCAAATCTTTATAAACTTCTCGATTCATGTGATGACATCGCCCGGAAGTCATCTTTGAATTCGGGCAGTAGCTCAGAATGGAGGCCTGTTGTGACTCGAAAGAATGGCTTCTTCAGCTTCCCAACAGTCAGATTGCAGTGAGTTTTTCTTTCTCCAATCATTTTTGGCAAGCAATGTGAGAATAGAGTTCCACCCTTCTGGAAGATTTGGTTCATTAAACATTATTATTTTTTTCTTTGTTTTTACTACAGCATACCAGCTGCAGTATGTGGAAACATAGCTATATATGCGACGGAGATCTATCAAAAGGAAAATTCTGGCTCTGAGAAGAGGTTAGTTTTTAGCACATTTGATGCCTCAGAGCTTAGTACGTTGTTCACGCCTGGGACCTTTGTGGATGCATTTTTCTCCTTAGACCCATATGACTATCAGCAGCTTGCAGGCATTAAATTGGTGGCCAAAAAATTGATTATCCATTCAGATTGATGATACGAGAGACAAGATAGGTTCTCTAATTTATTTTAGTATGATTTATGGCTATGTCACATCAACTACACTACTAGACTTACATATAAAAGTTTCTCTGCTTTTCTTTCTTTAAATGTAAATTGTAACTTTAAAATTGTTGTACATCCAAAGTAGATAATTGACGATCTTTTTCGTCAGTTTCTACTTTCTATGGATTCTTAGGGTCTATTCTTCCCTCTAAGGTGTAGCTTCGAAAATGGTGTTATGTACTTATTGGAGAAGGAAGGAACGGTTCTGGAGAATTGTTATCTTATTTAAAAAATGAAATTTCTTTAACAGACTATGAAAATTACCTGTTGATATGACATTGTTTAGAAGAAAACACACACGCACTCTTTTTCTCCTGAATACCCTTATAATCGATCTTAGGTTGTGTTTTATTAAAAGACAATTACAAAATTATCTTTTAAAATGTGTCCCATAACTGTACATAATTTATTTGCTACTCTCTCTCTAATAAGAGTGAGTTTGAAAGGAAAATTTCATTACTAAATTAACAAATTAAATAAATAGTCACAAATGAGCACAAACTACAAGAGAATTTGACCACGCGTATTGATTGGATCTACTAGTGAAAATAGATGAAATACAAAGGCGAACACAAGTGTCGAGACCTAATAGAGAAAGACCCATTCAGCACGAACAAAATCGAGTGTAACTAAAACTCGTTAACAAGAATCATTATTGTTAATGGATAAAAGCAGTTGACCGGGACCAAACCTCTAATATTGGGACACAAGCAACACGACCTAAAAGCACATCTAGATGCAAACAAGCACATACATTGTCAATAACCAACTCAGACTGGTGAGACACATAAATAAAATTAGAATGTATAGGAAACCACTTCCGTTATTACAATACATAAACTTGACAAAAATAACGTCATTATTAAATTAACAAAACACTATGAAAACTACCAATAGCCTTAACCACACAAGAAGAGATGTCGGCGACAAGCCAACAATCATTGTACAGAAGCCAAAGAAACTGCATCTGATAAGAGCCGTTGTAGAAATCGTGACTGTCATTGACGAAGCTTAATGCTAAAACAACCCGAACGATGCCTTCGCTCGTCACACGAAGGAAAGTCGTCAAACCTCCATCTTTAATACCAGTCGCCCTAAGACCCCCGCCGCCCTCCCTCGAACTATATTGATGATGGGGCTAAGACCCCAGAGCAATGACGATATCAACCATCGACTACACCGGTACGAACTCAGCCACCGTCTCAAGGGTCAAGAGTATGATGACTAACAAGTGGTGGTGCCAAACTCTGGCCCTAAGAAGAGATTTCAAACCTAAAATCTTATGTCACCTCATGAGAGAAAGAAAGAGAGAGCAGAGAAAACTACTATCCTATTCTAGAGATGTTAGGACACTATTATACAAACATGAATGTATATTTATCGTTGAGCCAAGCTTGTAACTAGTTGTTGCTTCTCTTTTTTCCTAGTCAAGAAACAATAGGGACTTTCTCTGATAGTCCATGTAAAAATAGATTAGTAGTAGTCTCTTATTTTTCAACCGTCATATATGTATCAAAATCTGTCTATTTTGTAAACTTTTTCAACCAAATATAATTTTAACCAGATTACTAAAGAAACTCTCCAATAATAAAATATTAAACCGGTCCAATGTGTTTCAAAACAAGAAGAAAATACATTATATATAAAATATCCCGAGACTTTTCCAATCACTAGTGGACGTTTGGTTCACGGATTCAAAACCATGATTCATAATCATTCTCGATGTACGTGTGTTTTTTGTGAGAGAAAGTACTGTAACAAATCACGAACCATGATTCGAACCATATGACGCATCCTCGTACCAAATACCCAGTAGATATTTCGAGATTCTTTTTCTCTTTTCTCATTTTGTTTTCCACCAACGAGTAAGTATTACATCCAAGGCTTCTCCAATCATTTACAACAAAAAAGAAAAACAAAGAAACAAAAACAAAAATAATATTAGACTTCATTCATTTTATCGATTTAAGTTTTCAATTTCAGTTTTACAACAATTAAAAATTCTCACAAAAATTCACATTTAACTTTTTTATTACAGTTAAAAGCACTCACATAAAGTTACATCTCAACTTAAATTAAAAATTCAAATCAGTGAACTAAAGCAGCTTTAGGATCTGATATTTTTAATATCATGTAGTATCTCATACGCATCAATAATCAATCAATCGGCAATGGCGCACCACTAACGTTTTAAGCTTTTTATTTTTATTTTTAATTATAAATGATTTTGAACTCTAAACCCTTGATTGTTTAAAAAATTAGAGAAAATATAGGATATAACATATTTTATAGGTACTTTTGAAACAAATAGCATAATATCTCAAACAAATAGCGTAAATTATAGCATATCATTAATTTTAAATAATTTGTTTTTCAATTTTACCCTTAAGATTTTTTCCCCTCCTTTTTTCTCTTCCAATTTTCTCTCTCTCTACTCTCACGACCCCTCTCTCTCTTCCCCTTGGTGATTCTCTCTCCTTATTCCCCTTCGCACTCTCTCGACCGTAACTCTCTCTCCTCCTCCTCAACTCTCTCTCCACCGTGTCTCTCTTTCTCTCCACCGCGTCTCTCTCTCTCTCCTGTTGAAAAATTCAGATTTGGGAGGATGAAAAGAATAGAGAAAACAAAAAGAGGGTTTGAGGCGTATAGGAATACTTTCCTTTAAGGTTTTATTTGTCCTCACTTCTCAAAGTTTGCTAATGAGTTTTTAATGGTAAATTACCCCCAAGATACAACAAACCCTTGAACACAATATCCAGCAAAAAATATTGAGTTCCAGAACAATGATAAAATATGTATTTTCTGAAGTCCATCAAATAAATACAGGGATGCATCCATCCTCTTTAAGTGTTACAACCTTTCACATAAAGATACCTTTTCAATTTTAAAGGTTATCCTTTATATGCTGATGCAGTTATATCAATAGTTATTTCTATTGTTAATAAGTGCTCAGATATGTGAGAAAACATATCACAAATGGATGCAATGATTCAAGACCTTTTCAGATCACTAAAACACACGAAAACACGTTTTCCGTTAGTAATTTGCGCTGCAGCGGATGACATTCACGCTGCAGCGCTCGGGCTTCACAAAACATACCCAAGAGGCCTGTTTTGTGCACGCTGCAGCGCCCAAAGGCGTGCTGCAGCGCGCGGGCTTAGCAAAACAGACCCGAGAGGTCTGTTTTGCACAGGCTGCAACGCCCAAGAGGCGCGCTGCAGCGCGCGCTTATGCCCGCCCACTCTTCCCGAATGTGTTTTAGGCCAATTTTTGTGATATCGAAATTGAGAGATATATTACAATCTCTCTAACATCTCCTCTGTAACTCTCTCTTCACAGCGACTCTCTCTCTCTCTCCGCTAGTCCCTCTCTCCGCCGTGAGTCCTTGTCTCCTCTGTGAGTCCCTCTCTCCTTCACGACCCTCTCTACTTCGTGACTCTCTGTACTATGGTTTTCAGATCAGAGATTGCGATCTTCGATCATTATTGAGCAGATCTGGTTTAATGAGTTGCAGAGATCGAGTCGTCGCCGATCTGGTTGAACCCATCTCGTCGAACTTTGATTGCGACGATCTAGGTCAGATATCGTCCTTCGTCTCGCAAAGATTGAGTTTGAGGTCGGTGGTCCTTGATTTATGTCGCGATCCGCTCTGGTCGGAGGTCTACAGTGGCGTTGGATTTTAGAGTGGGTGTGGGATCTGGTTAAATCAGTCAAGATTAATTACTATGTGAAAAAGTTCTACCCTACTAAAAGAAACACTATATTATTTAAATGAAAATTATAATAAATAGCATTTTTACTAATACTTGAAGTAAATAATACTAAATAAATATTTATAAATAGATAATTTCTTTGGTAAATTTTATTTATTTAAATTATTTACGGTAAGATATTTTTTTTTGGCACCATCACATTTGATCAAAATGCATGTTTTGATTGAAATGTGGATTTCGATCCATTTATTTTTTATTTTTTATTTTTTACTTTTAACTCTTATGTTTTCAAATGGTGGTTATCTAAACATTTTCCTTGTAGTCAATTTTTTTTCCCAGCTGTAACCCTTGTAAATGGTTTTTACTAATTGCTCCCTCAAATCATTTCTTCTCTAATATATCCCTACTTAAAAATTATTTTCGTACAACCTTGTCAAATACTTTTTATATGTACAATTTTCAAATACTAAAAAGAAGATTGGCATATAATCTATCTTACCCACCTCACCGTTTTTTTTTTTTTTTTTTTCTAACAGTCAAACTCAAGCATGTGCAAACGAAATTGGAAGACATATCAACGCAAGCCAACAACCAAGAAAGTGCATAACAAAATTGCACATCCCCTAAAGCTTTACCGCAACTTCCGTGCGATGTTTATGGATGTGGTTGGCTAAAACCGAGTTTGAGCCCCTTTTCTTTTGATAATGACCCATGAGTTCACTTTGACTTCACTATACTTGGGCTAAATGCCGGCTTTGAGTGTCACTATTGAAATTTTATTTGCACCCCATTAATTAATTAATACCCCCAATAAATTTATTCTATCATTTATAATATTTTAAGAGGCAATATACAAATGTAAATTTTCCTAATATAACCCTTATATTGGTATACCCATGACATCAAATATCAATTTAAATTTTGTCAATCGTTTCCCTTCCTCATTTCTTTCCTGTAGTTCCACAGAGATCACACCAAACAGTTAGCTTCAAGCCTTTGACCTCTCTAAATCATTATAGCCAATACACATTACAAGCTTTTGAGCAATGCGAATTCCATTTAGCCATCATCGTTGGCTCTTATCAAGGAAAAAAAATAAAAAATAAAATAAAAAGAAGAGGAGGATACGATGTAAAACGCAACAATAAGTAATTGAATAAAAAAACATATAGAGTCTGTTTGGTTGGAGGATTCGTTCTCTGATTCGAATCATGGTTCATAGTTCGCTACAGTATTTTCTCTCACAAAAAACACACGTAAATCAAAAATGGTTCTAATCCATAAATCAAATGGGCTCATAATCTATGAATACTAGCTGCGAAATATCACACTCTTATGAATAATTCATAGAGTTGAGGCGTATAGAGTTTCTGGATTAAACTAGATATAAAATTTTTGAAAGGTGTATGAAATTAAAATTTATATAGATTTATGGGCATATTAATGAATTTTATGGCTGGTTCTATTCAAATTCTCATTTTTATTCTATACACCCCGTTCTAACTACACACCCTACATAAATTTTAAAAAATT